AACCCCCCAAACCCTGCCCAACACCCCACACCCCTCATGCATCATTGCTCAAAACACCCTATTTTTATATTTTTTGGGGGAGTGTTTTGCACAGAAACTGGGGCGACAGGTTTTGGGGGGGGGGTGTGACACTCACACTTGGAGACGACCCCTTCCAGGCGGATGATGTTGTGGTGGCAGAACTGGCCCATGATGGCAGCTTCACTCAAGAAGTCCACCCGTTGCTTCTCCGTGTAGCCCACCTTCAAGGTCTTGATGGCCACTGGCACCTCCTTCTTGCCACACTTCAGAGTGCCCTTGTAGACCTCCCCAAATTCACCTGCTCGGAGGAAGGGGGATGTTTAACCACCCACCTTGGTCCAATTTTGGGGTGTCTTTAGGGTGACAAAGCCACCTGAGGACCTACCAGCGCCGATGACCTTCTGGCGGGTGATGGAGGATGGAGGGATCTCGGTGGTGAACTTGAGCATGGCTTGGTTGGGGTCTTCGTAAGTGTGAGGGTCAACGTAGGTCTTGAGGGGCTTCAGCTGGTCTGGGGGGTGGCGTGGGGGGGGTCAGCACCCACATCACCCCCCACACATCCCTGTTGACCCCACCATCCCATTGCTCACCTGACTTGGAGAAGTAGACGTCCTCGGTGGACTGGCGTGGCCGTGACCTCCTTTTCCTGTGGAAAAGCAGTGTTTTGCCCCCAAAAAATCACCCCTTGCCCATCTTTGGTGTGGAAAAAATGATATTTTGGGGGGTTTATTTGGGTGGGGGTGCCCCCTGTCCCTGTCAACCCCCGGGGGGGCTGCGAATAGCGGACCCCCCCATCGCAGGAACGGCACTCCCCGCTCTCTGGCCAGCACTGCTCGCAGGTGACGCTGTAGGTGATGTCCCCACGACCACCTGGGTCAGCAGGAGGGGACCAGCGTAGCTGCACCGTGGCCCCCAACCCCACAGCTGTGATGCCTTGCGGGGGCGAGGGGGGACCTGGTGGGAGCAGGACAGAGAGCAGAGGGGGGCAGTCAGGGAGGGGTGGCCGTGCCGTGCCTCGAGGAAGAGGAGAGCAGCCAAGAGGACGAGGACAATGAAGACACCAGCGATGGAGCCGCTGATAATGGCAGTGGATGCCATGGCCTCAGTGCCTGCAGGGACAATTTGGAGGGGAAATTTGGGGTGAACCATGCACTCCCTGGACACCCCCCATCCCAAAATTCTGCCCCAACCTTGGTCCTCACCCTCGGGCAGGGTCTCAAACTCATGCTGGGGGCTGTATGCGCCGTGGCCGTCCTGGGTGAGTGCCTGGACCCGCACCACATAGGCAGTGGCAGGGGACAACTTGGGGAGGGTGACGGAGGTGCCCTCGCAGCGCAGCACTGAGTAGCTGTTCTCATCCACCTGGGGACATGGGGGGGGACATGGACATGGGTGGGGGAAAGGATGGAGGGGGGGGACACAGAGGGGGTGGTGAGCTGAAGCTGTGACAGGGGACGGACCTTCTTGCTGTAGGTGACCTCGTACTTCCAGACCCGACTCTGCTGCCGCAGTGGCACCGTCCAGGAGAGGACCAAGCTGGTGGCCGTTCGTCCATCCAGGCTCACCGATGTCACCCGGGGTGGCTCTGCCGTGGGGACAGGGATGTCACAGAGGTGTCCCCGTGACAGAGGGCAGGTAGGGGAGATGCTGGTGGGCCCCTTACCTGTCTGATTAACGCTGATGGTGGCGGTGGCCACGCTACGATGGTGGCTGTAGGGTGACACCCCGTTCCGGGCTTCGACAGTGAAGGTGTATTGACGGTGCGGCTCCAGGTCGGTGACGGTGACCCCTGTCCCTGGCAACCCCCCGGG